TAACCTACTTTTTTGTAGGTCCTTATCATAAACCCTAATATAGAATTTATAGGGACCCAACAAAGTAGGTTTTGGCAGTTTAAGGTAAGGAAACTTCACGGTTTTTGCTGAGCTTCGGGATTTTTTATTCCTTGAGGATTCCTTGAAGGGTTCCCTGTATATATAAGGGTGCTGGGGTTTATGGTCTTCATGCGTCTGCAGTCTCGAGAGCTTCCAGAGCCTCCGACAAGGACAGCAAAAAATGCCAGAAATGCAGCAAAACATGGATCGTGCTCAATCCCTGCAGACTCCTAAAAAGCCCGAAAATCCCTGTTATCCCCAAGTTTAGGGCTTAGGGTTTAGGGCTTAGGGTAAGCCGCAACCCAACAGCTCAGGCAAACGACCAAAGGTCAAGAGCTCGTAGCCACGAGCGCTGAAAGACCTTCCGATGCATTTCACTGTGCACCTTCATCTTGTTATAGCTATTTCCTTTACGGATTTGGTGTTCAGCAACTTACTTTAAGGCGTTGAGGGTTTGCTTTGCTTTGTCTTCCTGTGTCTTTGTAGAGTTTATCGTGCAGGTTAGCATAGTCTAGCTATGTTGTTAAAGGCTCTGTAGTTTGCATCTTGCTGTTGTGGTTGAGGTTTCAGATTGTTTCTTACTAGTTTGTTTGCTGTGCACCTGTGTAACCTTTATGTCATTATGAGGCTTGTTCTTGGGAGGTTTGTCCTAAAGCTGTCTGTCCGACTCGTGATGCGAGTGCAAGTGAAGACGGTATCCGATTTGGGGCCTGTGTGCGCTCGAAAATGTATTTCGGTGCGTTGTTCATCTGCATCGGCTTCCTATAGATCTCATGAATCCTTGCACGGGATGAAATGGGCCGTATCCGACTGTGCTTTCCAAGCTTTGTCTGTAAAAGGCTACGTCGGCGGCCAAAACTCGAAGTTTCACATGACTCGTCTGCGGTCGCTCAGGGCATCCATTTCTGACTAGCAAGATCCACTCGAGCCTTCCAGGCGCTGTCATCCTGGCTCTAATCATTAGACCCTAAACCCTAAACCCTTTAGGGTTTAGGGTTTAGGGTCTAATCTGAACTGCGACCACCAAGCCCTGACCCAAAACTCTCCGCCCCCTACCTCCAGCACACCGTGCCGATATCCCGAACATGGCCTGATTGCATAGCTCAACGAACAGCTCGTTGTCGAGTATTGCTGTGCCCAAAGCCTGTGATAGATACCGGGGCTTCTTCTTTAGGGGTTTAGGGTTTATTGTTTAGAGGGTTTAGGATTTGATGAGCTTGCTATGACCACTGTTCACTATGATTTCGGCATCCGAGGACAGCCATATCTCAAACGTAGAACCAACGGCCGCACTATGCGCCACTTCAGAGTAGACTGTATCCCGAACTACTTTGATAGCCAAAGACAGCTGACTACAATTCTGTTCTTTACACACATAATTGACAAGGATCGTCAAGGAGCGCTATCAAGAAACCCTGCGGCTACTAGCCCCTTAAAACTGAAATTTCGCAGTACGTTATCCCTAAACCCTAAACCCCTAAACCCTAAACCTTATCCTATTCAGCCCCTTTGACATGGTGGCAATGCCGACCATAATGACCCCGAGCCCCAAATCCTAAAGAGAGCCCAGGAGATTGGCCCTGAGATAGAAAACCCAACTCTGAGAAAATCGCTCCAAAAGCCTTGAACCCGGGGTGTTGGGCTGCTCATGGGGCTAGGGATGTTCAGGGGGGCTTTTGGGGTTCAGGGCTTCGGGTTTAGGGTTTTGGGGTGCATCACAAACTTCGAAGACCCCAAAGGTCTCAGCAGGCCGCCGCCCACTGGCGGCCATACCCAACCCCGACGCTGAGCCAAGTCCCCCAATGCCTACACCCAGGGCCTTGAAGTTTAGGGTTTAGGGTCTAGAGTTTAGGGTTTAGGGTTTAGGGTTCTTGGAAAACCAACATCGAAACCGATTCTGGACCTCCCCAGCCTTTCGGAAGGAGGATGCATCATGTAGAAGTTTACCCCTAAATGCTAAACTCTAAACCCTAAACCCCTAAACCCGAAACCACTAAACCCCTAAACCCCTAAACCCCTAAACCCTAAACCTCTAAACACCACTCGGGCTTCTCTTCGTACCATCGTGAAGGATGCAATGCTTCAGTTCGGGCCGGAGGGCTTCGGAGTACAGAACCCTTCCGGGCACTCTACTATAACCCTGAACCCTGAACCCTAAACCCTATATTCAGGGGCCTTAATAATTAGACTCGGGTTTCGGGGTAATCATAGTATAATATAATACACCTCAAACCCTACTCTGATTATTAAGGCCCCTATGTTATGGTAGAGCAGAGCATGCTGGGCTGGAATAGAGTGAGTAGAGCGAGTAGAGTCGAACCGAATACCGTGCCGTGTCTTTAAAGTCCACTTGCGAGTGATACTGTTGATGGACCAAATCCTGCATGACCCAAATATAGTATAGTACTATAAATCCCATAGTTTAGGTATATAAGGCCATGCAGGATTTTGTCCATCAACCGTAGTGATAGAATATCCCGTTGGGAAGGTACTGTAGCCTGAACCCTCAAAGCCATCGATGAGGTTGTAGCCTTAACCCTAAATCCTAAACCCTCAACCCTAAGCCTCGCATCGTGCAGGCCATATCCACGGGAAAATTTGAAGGGCGGAGGCACCTTGCTGTTCAGGGCTGGGTTTGTGAGGGTTTAGGGTTTGCGCAAGTTCACTGTCTTACACTGTTTGCAGACGAAGCCTTCATGCCACAAGCCTGATTTTTGAAGTATAAACCTGCTGGGACCAAGCTCCTTTCAAGTGAGCGATTGCTCTAGCACGGCTTTCAGGAGAAGGTGTGTGCACCCTCCGCAGCAACCAACCAAGAGCTTTGTGAGGGTGGTGGCGGCTGTTGAATCAAGTGTATCTCGTTCTTGACCACGATGGCGCCGCTTCCTAACTAAACGAACTCCGTACTTTGCGCTGACAAAGCTACCACCATGAGTGAGCCTCCCTGTCTTTGATGGCCTGTCACGGTTTAGGCTTCTGGGGTTCACTGTTACGGTTTTGGCTTCAGGGGGTTGAGCGTCTAGGGTCACATTCTCGCGAAGTGCTCGCCAAGACGCTATGGGATGTCACGCATCTCGAAATCCTAGTTGCGCTAGTTCCGAAAGCACTTCAGGTTAAGGGGTTGGGAAACTGACGATCTTTTGTAGGCTCCTTTGTGATGCAGAGGACCGAGGTCCTGAAATTCGGGTTGTGTCGGGCTGTTTGGAGGTTATGGGGCTCTATGATTGATGCGGGCAAGGGATCGGGCTGCAGGTTCGAATTATCCCCAACCCCGGATGCTCGGCCACCCCACGAGCATGTTGATCTCCAAATTCAGGAGCGCAGGCAACTGCATCGGAGGGCTGGTTTAATGCGTGCTTGCATACGAATCGACATCGGTACATCGATACACCCGTCCACCCACACATCTATCCATCCATCCACCCACACATCTATCCATCCATCTATCCATCCATCCATGCATCCATCCATCCATGCATCCATCCGGCCATCGATCCACACCTGCGCGGGTAAACACCGACATACATACGCACATACATGCATACGCACAAATACACGTATAATACAGACAGACATACGGACGAACGGGCAGATAGGCTGACAGACAGACAGACAGACAGACAGACAGACAGACAGACAGACAGACAGACAGACAGACAGACAGACAGACAGACACACAGACACACAGACAGACAGACAGACAGACAGACAGACAGACAGACATCTTTCTTTCCATCGCTGCAAGGTGCCCTACACAAGCTACACGTAGTGCCGGCCCAGGGGTTGCAGCCGCCAGCGCG